GCCCCTCTTTCCCCTTCTGCAGCCCATAGCCTGCACGTGGCTCTGCTCTGCAGTTCTGCGTGGGTATCAGCTGGAAAAGTACATGGGGTCTTTCCAGACTGCACAACTCTCTCCCCCTACACACACAGGTGAAATGATGTGTTGGTACTTCTAGGCTCTTCCTATCCATATATGAAATAAATTTGAACAACAAGATTTCATTGTGAATCAAGTATAAAACGTGCTGTTTGTTTCCTTCACACAGAAGGTGCTTTCATAGCTGCTGGAGGAAGGAATGGATCTGTACATCCAGTTACTGCCTTGGCTTGTGCAGAACTTGTAACAGCATAGAAATAGGATGCTTCACTGCAATGGACTGACCCTCTGTGACTGCTTAGAACCTTCTCATCTCAGTTTAGGTAGTCTGAGGTTATTTTAATCTGGGACACTATAGAGATCCTTATTCACATCTGTTTTCCTCCTTGCCCTGACCTTCTAGCTTTCCTTTAGTGGGAAGAAGGACCTACCGAAGGGATGCAAACCACAGCTTTTTTTATGTATATGTTATCAGTCTATAAAAAGAGAAATTTGGATCTCTTATGTAGAAATCTTTCTATTGCTTTTTTTCGCTGTCTTAGGTGAACAATAGTTTTGTGATGTGACACAATAGCCTGGCTGGCACATACCAATATGAGCTCATTGTGTGATGACAGGAATTGGCAGCTGTGAGGGTTTCGTAGCTAAGTGAGAGAAGGTACTTTTTTGGTGAGGAACTTGAGTTTTTCACAATACTCCACAGGTTCTGGTGGCCCTGTAAGGAGTGAATCATCAGGGTACCTCTAGAGCTCCTCTTGCTGAGACTCCTCTTAATGTCAGGATACTGTATATTATAATGGCTTGATGATAATGTTCTGAAAGAAGAAAAAAAGGCAGAGGATGTCTGTTTACAATGAAATGGGGAAACTGCACAGTTGTATTTTACTTTTTCATTGTAGCAACAGAAGTCATTGAGTTTCCTGGGCTTCCCAAGGTCATGGCCTGGATTGCAGCTGACTGTTGATCTCCATAAGAAATGTGATCAAATAATCATCAGAATATTCTCTCTTTTTTTTTGCTACTTAGCTGCAAGCCAGTGCCCCTCTCTCACTCTCTATCCCTGTGTTTACTCACAGTGCTGAGCCTACAGCTAGACTTAGAGCTTTATAGCTCATTGTGCTGCTTTTGAACTGGTTATGTCGGATCATTCTCTCCTTTGTAATTTGCCTTCCAATTTTCCCTTCCCAGTAGGAGTGCCTTACAGTACTGTCTATTAGTGTGTATCTTCCTGGTTTGGGATTTCCTGATTGAATTTGCAGTTCAATTAACTTGTAGGCTTAAACTGAAACTCTCCCATGGCTGCACGTGCTCTTTTACAGGAGCAGCTGAATAGATCAGTTTGCTTGTTCTGCCCTCATGAAGTGAGTTCTACAGGCTGCATATACCAGCTCTGAAGACAGCAAGCTGCATGGGAACCCCTCACTTCTCAAATTGGTGCCTTAAATTTTCAAAAGTGGAGAATTTTGTCAGGAATGCTCTGCCGTGATGCAATGTATTTGGCACTGGAGCTCAAAACCCTTGCTCATGGCAGTTTCCATCTTGCTGGGAGTGGTGACCATAAAATTTGTTTAATGTCTGTGCTTTTCAGAGGGAAATACAAGAAGGGATAGCATGAAGATGGCATTGGGGGTTATTGCCTGTATTTTGGAGACTAGTTGGGTCTCCAGAAATGCGGTTGTTGCTTATGCAACACCTTCAGGAGCTGTGCATGTATAATAATGGCA